TGTATATATATATATGGTAGTTTCCCCAAATAGCGGACCCCAATATGGACCCGAATATACTATAATCCTTATTCTTGGGACCCCCAAGCAGAACCCCCACCCCCCCCCCCCGCATATATATATATATATATACATAGGCGACTGCAAGTGCAAGTGGCATGGAAGTGACAGCTGACCCTACCTGGACCCCAGAAGTATGTATAATATTACCGGGGAATAATAGGGAATAAGAATTGCATAGGGATTATAGGCCCTTGTTCCATACTAACCCCAAGTATATGATCTTGTTGACGCTTTGTATCCTGGGTCCAGGTACACTCCATTCGGCACCCGTTTGACCTTAAACCAAATAAGGGGACCCCTAATATAGATCCCAAAATACTAGAATCCTCATTCTGGGGACCGCCCCAAAAATTCATTCATTTTGGGAAATTACCATATTGGGGGTATATACGGGTTCCCCTATTCTTAGGAAACTCCCATTCTCTCTCATTCCCACCGAGCCTCACTCAGTGGTGTGGTTCAGGTTAACACATAATGTAGGCCCCTGATTAATAAACCCCCTCCCCCTCATAGGGATTGTAATAAGGATCCAGGCCCTTTAAAAATGGGGGGGGGGTTATTAACTAGGGGTCTACATTAGGGCGTTGACTTTGGAGTTTAGGGGGTTAGCATTTCGAATTTAGTCTGGAGCATGCTTCGTGCACGACTGCTCTAGGACATTGACACATTAGTAACCCTAAATCCTAAACACATTAGTTTCTGAATTACCTTGCCGAGCGGCCGGCCGAACGCCACCTGCCCCCACAGGCCAGAGGAAGGGGAAATTCTATATATAACCCAATGTAACCCTATATGACCCCACATCATCCTATTTAATCCATTCATACCTGACCTATATAACCCTATATAACCCCCTGAACCCTAAAGGCCTAAACCCTAAAGGCCCAAAACCTAAACCCTAAAACCCTCTGACGTTAGGTTAGGGTTGACTTAAGGCTTGCAAATGGTCTAGGCCAAGCTCAGGATTGAGAGTTTGCTGGTTGGGGTGTCAGAATACCAGGGGGGTTAGGGTTTAGGGTTAGGGTTTAGGGTTTAGGCTTTGGGGGTGCCTTGTTTTTGCCAATCTCCCTGAATTCTGTACGGCTTCCGTTTTGAAGTAGCTGGGAAGCAGCTTAGATTGGACAAGCTGATGGACTTGTTACAGTTGAGCTATGGTCTAAACTTCTAGTATCCTCCTTACTAACCTCTATAATCCTCCCCGGTATAACCCCACTTTAAGGAGTTCAGACTACAGCTCAAGTTGAGCTGGGACCATGCAACTATCCGCATGGCAACTGCTGCGTAGGCAGATTGAAGCCTCTTTCGCCGAAGAACGCGCGCAGACAGATCCTACATGGTTCCCTCTGGATCCAAAAAGCCAAATGTAGGCAATATCCAGGGTTCAGGGTCTATGGGGTTCAGCCCAATGTAGGTAATATTTACAGACTGTATACTTGGATCCCTACGTAACCCCAGTTTCCATTTCATGTTCCATTTTCTTTTCCATTTGGTTATCCAGTACTGGTAAAGTTTGTATAGCTGGATTTTTTGGGTTGATTGGACCCGCAATCCCAATGTGCCCTGTGTGAGGCCGGCCAAATGAAATTTTGAAGCCCTGGTGTGCTACTTGAACTTCATAACTTCAGAAATTCGACCCTCAAGGGCCTGGAATCTCAGAACTTTTCAAACCGTAGAAACTGTAAACTTACCTTACAACCCTGAACCCTATACGGCCCGAAAACCTACAACCCTAGACCCCGAAGCCCTAAGCCACCTACAACAACTACACGAGCCTTTAGGCCTAAATTACATTACTACGACGACGACGACGACGTACTACTACTAGTTCTACTACATTATGCTTACCCACGACACAAAACCCGAGTCGAAACCCTTAAGCCCAAACCCTGGTCCAGCCAACCTCGGCGAGATAACCGAAGTCTCGCCGAGATGGCGGGGTGCGGTGCGAACCTTCAGAGCATGTGGGGGCGGGCTTAGGGTATATCTCTTAACTTGGGGCTCCTAGGGTTTTAGGATTTGCAATTTAGTGTCTGGGGCTAAGGGTGCGTGGCTTGGGGGGGACCTCTGAGGCTCATGGTGCCAGCCCTACATGTTTTGTGGCGCTGAGTGGGTCGGGGCCAAACTTCAATCATGAGAGCCCGCAAGCATGGACCTTATTGGTGTCTGTGGGCTTTGGCTCCATAACCTTAGTGAAGGTGAAAGACTCAGGCTAGAGGTTGCAATGTACAATTGCTACGGTCACCAGAAAAAAACAAACAAACAGTTGAGCACCGGAAATGGCGGCTGGAGATTTCTACGTTTGAGGCTTTTTCACTGGTTGACAACTAGAACATCGTACACTGTCAGCGCGCTCATTGACTGTTTACTGTGCGGCTGTGGTTGGAAACCCGGGAGTTCCAGCTTTATCGCAGGGGAACCGCTTGTTGTTCCTTCGAAGCCTCGTGGGATGCATGAACTTCCCTATCACGAAACCAGAAAATCGGGCACCCTACGCCTGCCTCTGTACTTCTAGATTTGAATTTAAAGAATTTTGTCGCACTATAAATGTCATGTCATGACCAAGAGGGCAGTAAAGGAAATGACAATCACCTTTCCGGAGATTAATCACCCTAAGGTGGAAGATTGCACATCACGTGTTAAATCCTGAGCCCGAGCGCACTATTCCTTTGAGGATTTGGGATAAAACCCACTAGGCCCACACCCTAAACGCTAATGCTAAGTCCCAAAACCTGAGCCTTCAGCCCTCCACATGACCTGATGCAACAGTACTGATGGTTCCACTGAACCTGACCGGAGGCTCCAAGTAGCCCAAAGGCCTTTCATAGTATGGTCTTTGGGCCCCAAATTATGGGCCGTAGTCTAAACTCCTAGTATCCCCCCTAATAACCTCTATAATATTCCCCTATGTAATTCCTGTATAACCCCCTTTAAGGAGTTTAGACCATAGCTCATATTCTGAATCCTGAGAGCCTTAGGGTAACCTACCGCAAACCAGTACCACACAAGCCAACCTCATTCCCTAAGCCTCACCCGCTGCAAGAAAGGTTTAGGGTTTAGGATTTAGGGTTGAGTGTTTAGGATAGTACCTAAAACCCAGAATGGAACTGCTTGGCTCTGGAGCAAATCTTGTTTTGTCGCACCCCCCCCACCCCAGCTAAATTTGAACCAAATCACTCCAAACCAACCTAGACTTAGACCCACAACCTACGACAGCCAAATGACAGATGCTCAAACCGAAAGCCTAAGCCCGAAACCGCCCAAACCCGAAACCCTAAACCCTAACCACTTAATCCGCACCTGGCTGGTTTGACGCCAGGTCTAGGGCCTCAAAGCATGAGGATATCTGGGAATTGGTATAGGGTGTAAGGTTTGGGATTCAGGGATTCTCATTCGCGCTAAGAGCTTCAACCTCAGGATCAGGAGCATAGGGTTTAAGAATGAGTTGCAGCAGAATCCCTCTGTGGGGCTCATGTTACAGCTTGGGCACCTTCAAGAGAATGCTCAAACCTTCCTGGCAGCGGCACTTCTATCCCACTCGGCAGTTCCCTAGATACTTGCCGTCTTAGTTGCTTTTTAGTTAACCCTAGGGTTCCCAGTTACCTAAATGGTAGGTTACTGGGCTATGTAACAATACGGTATATAGTACCCAGTTCTCATTATTTAGGTAACTGGAACCCTAGGGTAAGGTGTGATGCGCTTTAGTTAAGGTGTGGTTGCCATTCTTCGCAGGTTTTCAACTTTGCCAGGGCGGGAGATGAAGCAAACTAAGGGTCCAAAGGCATGCAGACCCCTAAACCCTAATAGTAGCTTCCATGTTCTTTTCCATTATCCCTGTATATCCCCATTCTAGCCCCTAATTTTGGGACTCCATTTAAGGTGTAAGGTTGATGTGAGACAGCCCCAGCATCATGCGTTGCCTGCTGGCTACCATGCTAGGCTTGTGGAAGCCCAAACCCTGAGGGTGCAAGTACACAATACTCATATCCTTACCCAAAGCCCGTACTACGATTACCAGCACCAAAACCCTAAGTACCCCAATTATTGGGTACATGAACCTCGAGGGTTGCGAAAGCCTAAGTAACTGCCGTCATAGATGGTATTCGGAGTACTGTTTGCCGACTTGGGAGACTGCTGCCAAGACCATCCAGCGTTTAGGGTTAAGGGCTTTAGGCTTTCTATTCTCCATTTGATTCTCCATTACTCGGGTAGTATCCCAAAGCCCCGTATAATCCCCAGATATCCACAGTATTTCTGTAGGTTCCTGTACAACTATGGGGCGTGTGGTGCGGATAAGGGGATCATTTGCATACTATGATAGGGGTGGTTTTGCGGAATACCCACACGGATGGTAACAATAGCAGGAACATGGTGATGGAGGAGCAGCAGTAACAATACCATACATCATGTTGGCGTAGTTACGTTCACTATGCATGGATCTCACACTCTCTTTGACACACATTAACCTAAGAAGGATGAGCTGGACTTAGCGCAGTGCGGAAAAACCTCAACTAACAAGCCAGCTGGCTTTGACATGCATTTCAGTGGCTGAGGCTTCAAGCGCAGTGTCGTGCATTGCAATATCAGCATGGGAACTGACCGCATTCAGCGAAAGACTGGTCCATTCAGACTCCACGTGTTTCGATTCATGTTCCCTCGACTCTGGAGATACATTGAGGAATGGACAGTACGATCAAGGTAAATTTCCTGAGCCAAAAGGATCTTCAAAGCTCTACCGCGGAAGTTCCCAACTTGGATACCCCCAGAGCATGAAGGATCCTAAGGGTCGTTCCAGTTCATGGGAAAGCCAAACATCACACATCTGAACCCTACGGCCCCGAACCAGAAAGCAGCGCCAAGGGAGTGTCCAATCTTGAAAACTTTGGTTCGTCCCTTGGTGTCTGTGTACCCCTTCGCAATCTGCACAAGATGTAGCAAGGCTAGATACAGCCCAAAGGGTCCATGTGGGTGTATGGGATATATTTGGGCCTTAAAGTAGGTATATGGGAACCCCTTTGGACCGTAGGTATATACCATATACCTACAAGGACCCTTTGGGAAGTACAAGGAAGTCCCCAACCGTTTCCTTTGAATCCCGTCTATCCCTCTGGCCTCGGAGAAGGGAAGCAGTTTCGGAAACAACCCCCACTACCCTGAACCTTCAACCCTAGACCAGAAATTCTACACAGCAACACACCGCACATCCGAAAAACACACATCCTAAGCCATGAACGCCCCCCCTATGTTGCTACGTTCAAAGCGGGTTTCCCAAAAATCGGGCTACCTTTTGTGGGGTCCGAATAATAAAGACTATAGTATTTGGGGGGTCCATAGAGGGGTCGCCTCATTTTGGGAAACTACCACGTGCTCCGGCTAGAGCCTGGCCGATCAGTCTCGCAGTAAATGCAGTCCTCAGATCAAGGGCTTCGGGTTTAGGGCTTAGGGTTTAGGGCTTCAGAAACCATACCCCTCGGGATCCAAGTATACAAATCATGACAATAACGGGGACTCAAATTGAACCCTAAACCCTAAGTCGGGTTTGACTAGTACTTATAGACTTATAGAGTCATACTGCGCGTAAGGTCAGGGTCTAGGTTTTCAGGCCCTCTGAATACCAAAACAATGTGCCTGAGGGTGAGGCGGTCAAGGTTTAGGTTGGTTCAGAGGTATTGGGTTTAAGGTTTAGGGTTTGGGTTTTTAGTGTTTTCGGGTTTAGGATTTTGGGGCTTAGGGGTTAGGGCTTCGGCTGAAGGACCTGCCGCCACTGTATCGCTTGCCACTTACAGGAAACAACGCCTCCTCTTTGGCATATCGACCATGCGCATAATCCGCCCTCTGTCGCTAGGAACCCAAGTATACAAATAATATTCACATTGGGCCCTAAATGGTACAAATCTACCTACATTGGGCTATATTCGGATACTTAAAAAGTTTTGAACACAAGGGCTGAGGCCGCCGCATTGCGACCACCAGCGCCAGCAAGAGGATGGCATCATATCGGGTAAGGCCTGGGCAGAGAGGGTTTTCCCAACTAGTCTTCTTTCAAGGGCACACAAAGAAAACGATAGGACGGTGCAGATGATTCTAGCAGCTACAATGAAAAGCGAATGGCAGCAGCAAATATCAAACTACTTTCCCAGAGAAAACTGAAATCGAACGACCGAAGGTTTGTAATGGCCTACCCTACGACGCCAGAGGTCTTTTTGTAATTGCTATTTTCATAAGGAAACACCATGCTTCACCATATACCCATAGAATGGCAACTTAATCTAAGTTCCTTAACAGCAACCCAGAAGATTGAAGGCGCGTAAGGGCCAGCCCCCCCCAACCCTAAACTCTAAACCCTACAATCTAAACGCTAAACCTGAAAACCTGAACCCCTAAACCCTCAACTGTGGGGCTGATGCTATGTCACCTCATATATAACCTTGTAAGGAGTTTAGACGATAGCTCATTTGCTAATGGTTGACGGAGATTGCATTAGGATTGCGAAGGATGTTTGAAGAGCATGTAGTTGCCCCGCTTCCGGTTTTGAAGTAAGGTAATGTAGGGGCCTAAATAAGTACAATATGATTTTGAAGTAAATTTGAGGCGCCCTATACCATAGTTCAACAAGAAGCCTAGGATCAGAATACCATTGGAACTTGTCTGTGTGAACCGTAAACCGCAGTTTCCATTGTATTTTCCATTTGGCTTTCCATTATAGGGTGATATCCCTAAACCCTATATAGACGCTATATAACCCATGTATAAACCCAATTATGAAGCAAGTCTTCCCTGAAGCTACATATTCCCCTATGAATCCCTTAAAGGGACCCTCATATAGGTAAATGCCTTAGGTACTAGTTTTGACAACCGAACATACAATTCCTAATCCCAGTAAACCCGAATATTATAAGGCCCAGATTCCATCCATGTTTCTGTCAATTGGATTCTCCATTACTGTCCTTAAACCGTTAACCCTAGATCTTAGGAGGACCCCCCACCCTGTAATAGTGGTATAATAGGAATACAAGAGGACCCTAATATAATCCCTATTTCCCCCTAAAGTCACTATTACTGGGCGGTGGGTGCACCTAACCTAGATCCTTCAACCCTTGATAAGGACAATCATATAGGCCCCTACAATATCTGATGCCAGTTTGCTTTTCCTTGCCCTCACCTAAGGGGCCGAAGGCTCGGCAGGGGAAATTGCGAGCGCTACATGCTCAGGTTCCTTGTGAGGCGGTTAATACCGAGATAATAGAAGGTTTGGGGCTTCTTGGGTTCATGGAAATTAGAGGTCCCTTTTTACCTGTGATACGGATTATAGTATATTGGGCTCTAAAATGGGGCCCCCTATTCATGGAAACAACCATTTTCGGCTTGTCCAATCTATAGCCCCTTTATGTGTGCGCCTAGACAAAAATCATGGCCTGCACCACACATGCCCATCAAGCGGTTCGACAAAGGCAGCTAAAACTAAAAAGAGGCGAAGGCCGGGTGCATGATTCCCTAAACCCTAAACCCTAAACCCTCTAAACCCTAAACCCTAACCCTAAACCCTAAACTTGCAATTGAGCCTAGCATTCGTATAAAGAGGCACCTCCAAACTATCCTAAACCTAAATCCCAGAGGGTCCATGTACCCAATAATTAGGTACTTGGGATTTGGGTAATGGTAATTGTAGTACAGGTTTTGGGTAAGTATATGATTATTAGATACTTGGACCCTTAGGGAATTGTTAACCCTGAAGGCACAAGAAGAACTACGGTACACTATTCAACAGGAGACCCTTTCGCGTTCCACGTTAGTGCTGGGGGAGGGCAAAAAATCGCCTGGCACGCCTCCAAGAAAGATTGCTTGGTTTAAAGGGATCTTTCTAGTGAGAACGATATCAACCCCTTCGCACTAATGTTCGCCGACTCCGGTTTTTAGAGGAAGTCGGCACCACAGACGGACCGCAAGCAATTCCATTCAAACTTGGAGATATCACATTTCTGTCCGATACCATTCCTGCACAATCCATCGAAACCTTACCCCTTGAACCCTGAACCGTAAACAGTACCCAACCAGAGTCTTGGCAGGCCTCATTCTTGTGTACCATAGAATCCTGCAACTTTTCAGTGTGAATAAGAGTCCTGTATACTTTCGCCGGACAAAATGCTGCATGACCCCATCTTCCAAAAACGTATGAATTCTGGCAATATAGTAACACCGAGCGAAATGCAGGATTTCGTCCACTCGTCCGGCCACAAAATGCAACGAAAAGAGGGCTTCCAAGATAGATTTGCGATAATCAAAGCCGTGCAGCGAAAGGCGTAGGGAACGGAAAGGACGCCTCAGAATATTCGGGCTGGCAAAATCCTCGAAACCTACAACTGCACCGGAAACCAAAAGAACGCTGAGCCCTAATCCGAAAATCCTGAAGCGGGTAACCCTAAACTCACAAAAACTCTGATACCCCGAATCCTGCCCGTGGTTGGAGATGCACAGAGGTGTGGGAGTAGCATGCTACATGGTAGTTTCCCAGAACAGGGGGACCCCAATATAGACCCCAAGATATTGTAATCCTTATTATTGGGACCCCCAAAATCGTACCCCTAATTTTGGGAAACCCCCACATACAGGGTTTAACTGGACCCATTGGGGTTTATCGAACTGTGGGTTCAGGGTTGGGATCGCGGTCTAGGGTGGATTCGCTTTCCCCATAACCGTGTCTTTTACTTATGTGGCATACATGTATTTCTGCCATGGCCCTATCGTAGTAAGAACTCGGCTGTTCGTATTGTTGCGCATGCAACGGCCATGAGTACAGGACGTGGCTTTTTTCGTGCCGTAGGAACACCTACGTAGTCTAGAAATTTCTGCTACAACAATCATAGGATGAGTAGGGTTGTGAGGTTTCACATAGACTGAGACGTCCATTACAAAACTTTTTCTTGATGCCGGAAGACTTTAGATCCAAGAATCTTACCATAAAGCTTCATGCTCTGCATGCGGGATACGCCTACTGGCTACCCAGATCGCACAAGCAGTCCATGTGAACCTGACTAGACCTGTGAAAATGGTAAGGATCTTTGGAACTCCAAATCCCCCTCTTTACTCAGAGGGGAAGTGCTATGGAGCTTTAAAGAAGAGACATGGGTCTCTTAAGAGGAGACAACATAGAACATGGAGCCTCATCGTGCAACGGAAGCTTAGTCAAGCCGCTGTCCTAAGCCTTACAGGCCTCCATGGCAGCAGCTGCCAACGACTGAAATCGCTCCGAAGGGTTCAGGTAACCAAATTTGAGGGTTTTAGGTGTCCAAGACCATTCCAATAGAAGTAGCTTACCTAAATAGGGGACCCCGATATAGACCCAAGAATACTATAGTCCATATATTACAGGGACCCCCAAACTGGTACTTGTAATTTTGGGCAACCTCCATTATAGTATTCTTACCCCAGCTTTTTGGGTGCTTGGATTCTCTGGGTCTGGTTGAAACTCTCGTGCTCCTGCGCCTCAAATGATACCTACACTGGTCCCCAGAGTTTAGTTTAGGGTTTAGGGTTAGGGGTTAGGGTTTAGGGATAAACACACATTGGTCCCCAGAGCCCATAAACAGGACCAGTGGGCCATCTGGAGCTTTGCGCCGGGGGGTTAGGGTGGCAAAATCAAACCCTCATGCCCTGTACATGAGAGGTGAGGGGGCATCGCAAGTTATAAGTAATCCAGGCAGCACCAAGGCATGTGAAGCTTCTGGCTCAAGCATTTATTTGTTGATGTAGTTAACCCGAAGCCCAACCGAGAAATCACAATCAGAAACCCACAATCAGAAACCCTCAAACATGGTCAGAGTTCTCTGTGGCAAGCATCCTACACAGTCCTGCTGACGTGGAATCCATATAGAACCCCAAACCCCAAAGCCAAACCCTAAACCGAGTTTTGGCTAGAGCTTTCACCAACTGGAGAACTTCTCCAAAACTTGGAGAAATTCTCATGTAATGTCACCTGCAAAACGCCCAGCGGAGACTCCTATAATCCCTTTGGGGCTCTGCCTGGTCTTTGTCTTGAGAATCCCAACTACAACCCCGAACCTCAGGATCAGAAGCCCCACTTAGATACCAACCGCTGCCGACCATGGTGTTGGAAAGGTTGAAGATCGTCTCGCCGACCCCCAACTCCTGATTTTTAAAAGGGTTTTGGGTTATGGACTATTCTGAAAGTAAGGGGGGAGGGGCCTCGGGTCGTCAGGTGTATGTTCCAGCCCATGCCAGGTGGCGTATGGACCATGTCCTAGCTCTCATGCTTTCATGCAGAAAGCTTGGGGTTGTTGCTTGCTCAGTTTGGGAATTCCGCTTTGCGTGTCCAAGAGCCGTACAGTACTCACGAAAATAGACTACCCTGGGGATCCAAGTAGCCCAATGTAGGTGACATTTACAGACTCTAGGGCCCAATGTCGGTATTATTTCTATACGTGGATCCCTATATAACCCTATACAACCCCAGCCTCCATTTAATTCTCCATGTTCCTTTCCATTTGATTATCCACCTTTGGTATTATTTGCATACAGCTGTATACATGGATCCCTATACGGCATGGCTTCAGAAACCCTAAACCGTAAGCCCTACACCCTAAGCCCTAAACCCTAAATTGTAAACCCTACGCCCCAGTCTTGCTCTACAGTCTTGGGGTTTAGGGTTGGGTTGTGAATGTTAAACCTGACTCCTGGGTATGGAAGGAAGTTTACGCTCCAACTTCTTAATGGATGAACCAAATGGAAAATGGAGCGGAAACTGGGGATTGAGTGAAAGTTACAGGGACGTCCAGGGATATAGTGTTTCATGTCCACTGTCCAACAGGTTTCTCCCTTTTATTGCAGTCTGTCGCGGGGCATCATCACGCACCCTTGCACCAAAGTTCCCACCATCAACTCATTACCAGGACCCTCATTGTACCCTCTCAGTATGGGGTATATGGTCCCTATTTAGGGTATGTATAGAGGGTGTCCATGATCAACCCATTCTGCCCCACCCCGAAGTCTCACTGATGATTGCCTAGCGCATCCTGTGTGCACTCACCTCTACTGTACGAAAAGAAAGTAATTTATATCTGGTAACGCACGATAGTACGAAATGCTGCCAACAAAGTGTGATCGTTTGTGGTTATAGCCTCATTTCAAAATTACCTTTACCACAAGTAGACCCACACCTAGAACCGTCCTTATGGACCATCTGCAACATGATGTGAATCTAATATGAACCTATATCAAACACAAGCAAGGCGCCAAGACTACAGCCCTCAGAGACGACACAACAAGCGCGAGAAGTGCGACAAGAGGCATCGCTGCTGATCTCTTTCTGCGGCAGCTGATCCTTTACCTGATGAGCTTATTGTCTAGGCGTCCTCAGGGCTCGGGATAATACAGGCTGACTTTCCCATGGGGTTTCGGATGGTACCCAGGGCCCAAGTACAAGAACATTGGGGGCCTTTAGGTCCCAACTACCATAATCTGCATGGTTTTGGGCACCCAGAAACTTAATATTTGAGCTATAGTCTAAACTCCTAGTATCCCCTTAATAACCGCTATAGTAGTCCCCTATATAATCCACCATATAACCCCCCTTTAAGGAGTTTAGACTATGGCTCATTTGGGTATTAGCTGAACCATGCAGAACCCTTGCGGCAAAGTGAGGATCTCTGATTAGGGTCTTGCTCAGCCTAGATATGGGGATTTGCTAAAATTAGGGGTACCATTTTGGGGGTCCCCATAATAAGGACTATAGTATATTGGGGTCTATGTTGGGGTCCCATTATTTTGGGAAACTACCATATTTGCGAAACATCTTATCCTCGAGCTTCCACTGTAGCCCATGCTGAAGTAGAATACGCTCCATGCCAAGTATGCATGAGATCTAAAACAGCTCCCGAATAGACTCCATTGAATAGGGGTCTACCTAGGTTGGCGTGTGAGTTGTGGGGAGCGTGCATGAACCGTGGCTTCTTCTTATGGCCTCCCAAATGGCAGACCCTATACATAAACACCCACCAGTATTCCGAAAGAACCTAATGCACCTTCACCAAGTACCAAAATAGACGCCGCTACCTCACGCTGTAAACCCTAAATCCTGAATCCCTAATCTCTGAACCCTATAATCGTATGTTACATTCACCAAATACCATAAAGAAAGCCCTACCTTATATAGGCCAGCTTCCTCACTGCTCGGGAGGGTGATCTCAGGGATGTCGGCATCCATGATGCATCTGCAACTGAAGGCGGGACAGTTACGGTAGTTTCAATATCGTTTAGTGTGGAGGGCTTTCATTCAGAAGGCCCTACAGCAAGCTTTCTAGATTTTGGCATCCCATATGACAGCTCCGGATTTGGAGCGTCTTGTACAAGATGCCAAGCTTTCTTGCACATTCAGATGAAACTTGCAGATAGTGGAACCCAAAGCCCTAAGGGTCCATGTAGGAATATACTATATACTTGGTGTCCACAAGCTTTCCCATATAACTACTTCAAGGCTCTGGGAAAGGGATGGGCTGAAAGAGCTTCGAGTAACCCAAAGTAGGCTCTATATCTGGATGGCTAAGCACAGACATAAGTATATCGGGGTTATATTGGGGTTATATCTTGGGGTTATATTAGGGTTGTATTGGGGTTGCACTAGGGTTCTATCCTAAGCCCTAAACCCTACACCCTAAACCCTACACTCATAGGCTGTTCACTGGGCACCTTACTTGCCACGACCTTCACGCCGAAAGGCTGATTCCTTCCATGCTCCCTCTAACCTGTTGCCACGACCATGGGATCACCACGGAAAGGGTTTAGGGTTCAGGGTTTAGGGTCTCCTCTTTGTTGTTAAACTGAGTATGACCAGCTACTTCTTAGAAAGTACTGTTACTGTACCCAGAGGGAGGATATAAGCCTATTTTGCGTTGGGAACTACAATGCTACAATAGTATCCCGCGTTTAAGTTGCCCTCAACTATTGTGCATACGCGTGCGGTGCCTAGCCCAAGCATGCCACCTCTTTGGCCAGAACATGCCTACCTAATCGGACTAGAATCTGAACTTACAACCTGAACCCTAAACCCTAAACCTGACGGGGGTTCCGGGTTTAGGATTCAGGGTGCCCCGCCAACCCCAAAAACACAATAAATATCTTGCAGTTATATATTGGGGATATATTGGGGTTCTATGAGGGTTATATTGGGACCATGTTGGGGTTATAAACCCTTTAAACCTGACTCCCTCCAAACGGTAAAGCCTGGTAAAGCCATTTTTTGGCACCTCTTCGCCCGAAGCGGAGGTGTTGTGAGGCTGGCAACATCTGAGCCTCAGCTGTGCTCGGGATGTGGGATACATCCCAGGTTTAGGGTTGAGAGGGTTTAGGGTTTAGGGTGTAGGATTTAGGGTTTAGGGTTAGGATTTAGGGTTGGATTATTGGGATTGTGTATGGAGATTGCCGCAATAAGTGGGGAATCAAATGGAAAAGTGCATGGAACATGAAATGGAACATGGAAACTGGAGTTATACGCGGTAGTTCTTTGAGTCATGACCCCTTACAGCAATCGCCCTTCAAGGGGCATTATGACGTTGTACATTTCAGCATCTGTCAGTGTAAGGGAAATGGCCCAACCCATACTGTTGATGGACTCAGGGCATAGGCTTGGGCTTTGAACGCGGGAAGATCTTTAATCATATGCGGACTACGAAGGTGCAAAAACCAGCCCCACACACCAACAATCACCAGCGTTCATGCAACAAGCAATCTGAAGATATTTGGATGGCCACTGCGCTTGAGTTGTATATTAGGATTCAAGCTCGAACGCTTTGAAACCTACATCTCAAGCACCAAGGCGAGGGGAAGCACCTCAAACTGTTCCAAGACATTTACACGACCATCAACTTGGATGCCCGGAGGCATTTCCAATCACGGGTGCTTAAGGGGGAGGGGGGGTAGGTGCGGTAATAGGGGTAATATGCCGTTTTCAAGACGATACCCTAAGGGTCCAAGGATCCAATATTTACATGCTTATCCAAAACCTGTACTACACTTATTGGTACCAAAGCCCGAAGTACCCACTTATTGGGCACAGGCACAACCCTTAGGGATGATTCTAGCCAGCTATCCACTCCCCCACGCCACCTTAAGCTGCGTAAATTTGTGATACATTGCAAACGCAGGGCTGGAGACAGAGGTATCCATGACCACTCTGTGGCAACTGCTGTACCATTTTTGTGGGAACATTGAACCCTGCTGCAACTACAGCATTTCTGCGCATTTTGGGATCTCCACTTATCCACCCCGAGCCTTAAACCCTAAGCTCTGCACCCCTGGCAGCTCTGGGCCCGCTAAACCCACAAAACTCAACGCCTCTAACACTTTTAGCTTAGGGGTCCTACAGGATGCTCCAAAACAAAGGACTCCCTAACCCAAAGGGTCCATGTAGCTATATGGGGTAATATTGGGATAATGGAAAAGAAAATGGAAACTACTATTTAGGGTTTAGGGTTTAGGGTTTAGGGTCCATGTAGCTATATGGGGTATACTTGGGCCTTAAAGTAGGTATATGGGAACCCCTTT